GGACAATATGTAGTTGACATTTTTTTTGTAGTCGACATTATCAGGATTTGGGGAAATGATTCATTAGGATCAGTACAAATTGTCATCAGCCCTTATGATGAAAATGCTAATTTTTCTTGCCCAAATAAGAATTATTCTTGGTGGACAACCAAGTTTGGTGGATTTGCCTCTTTTATGTGGAATTTGCTTTTGTTGGGGAGAGTAAGAGTCAGTGTGAAGAAGGCTGAGCTGGGGATGGGGCAAAAGGTACTGTTGGGCTGTGAGTTGAATGAGTTGAAGATGCTGCGTTGTGGATTTTGTGCTTTCAGGCAAAATATCACTTGTGGCTTTATCCTAAAAATAGCAGAAACACCAGACTCTGGGTCAGACCCATAGTTTGTCCAGTGCACTATTTGTTTCTGTCCATGGTGCCACGGGTTGTTTTGTGAGAGAGCCTATGAGAGACACATGTGTGTCTCCTATGATGCCAGCCTCTAAAGCTTGGGGGTGTGCCAAACATCCTGAGCTCCTCTCTTTAGGAACATAGTCCTTTCATTCAGTTCAGTGGAACTGGCACACTGAGCCTGGCAGGTCAGTCTTAGGTGAATGACCAGCGACTAGCTGCTTTGTTAATTGCAGAGCCTATTTTGCCAAATGATATTGGCAACGAAGCTGTGTCAGACAACCTCTGATTCTTTGACCTCCTGATATTTTTTATTTTATTCAAGGTGAACCCACTGAAAATCAGTGGAGTGAAGCTATGGCCATACCATTCATTACAGGGAGAACCCAACATTTGGTTCTGAAAATGGGGAAGAGTGGGACTAACAGGGACATTTGCTAAGACAGGATGAACCTGAGGAAGTAAATTGGTTTTGTTGGCCAGGATGTGATCAGGGGGAGATTTAGCTTTGAGGGTCAGGATGTGTAGGTAATTGTGGACCCAAATGGTCCAAGGCTTGCATGGAGCCTATACCACTTAGCCAGGTCACATTTTATACTCACTGATGCTTTTAGCCAAATGACTGTCATGTTTCAGCATATCCTGATTGTTGGCTCGCTGATTAGGCTCACAAGTAAAAGCGAGACCCTTTTGTAGAGCTGCTAGTGGATTATAGGGTATTTTAGACTTTGACTATGCAATTGTACAGGGCATAATATGGACCATGTATTATAATGAGGAGGGGAGAGGGCACTTTTTTTTTAATGCTCCTGCGTTGAGAGGCACTGCATTAGGGGCTAATAGTTTTAAATGAAGCCACATTTCTAACAAGGGGTGAGATAACGAGGATAAATGAAATTGGCAGACAGTCTAGAAGCTTCATTTTAGCCATTATTTATAATCTCTTCTCCTACCAAACCATTTTACTATGTAGCAAAATTGATTAATTTGCACATATCTCTTTTCCCTGTGCCCACATGCTCTCTGATAGAGGAGTGAACAAATAGAGAAATATACAAGAGAGGAAAGAGGATGAGGCCGAGGCCAGGGGGAGTTGAGGATGCATAATCCCCACACTGAATAATCACCTCCAGAATAATCAAGATATATTTTAGGGTCCTAACATTCATCTTGATATTTAATCATTCTGGGCCATATTGAAAACAAAAGATTGTATAATAGCACTAATAAAAATCACTTGCTGTGGGAAGGTTCAGAATAAATATGGCTTTCTTTTTAACATGAAATAGGAATCTGTTGAACTACTCTTCATGTTCTGTCACAGCACACACAGATACAGCTCTGTTTAATTCCATATCCTCTTATCTATAAGTCCTACATTTAATTTACTACCATTCCAGTTGATTTATAGCTTTGCTTAGTAAAAGTACAGCCTTGATTAAAAGGATATTATCACAGCTGATGGACCTTGAAAGCATTTTTCTCCCCAGACCTTCTAATAGTTTTGAAAATGACCTGAAGACTCCAATAAGGCTAGATTTTGCGTGTCTCCAGTTTTTGCTCACCTGGCTGTAATTTTGGGCAGCGGTGGTTAAGGGTGTTGAGTGACGTAGTTTTCCCATATGCTAACTCCTTATATATCCTAAGAAATGGAAAGGTACTGTGATAGTGTTTTCGAGCAAGTTTGCTTCAAGGACTCCCAGACCCCTAAGTCAGTTGCCCTCTTATCTAGCTGATCACTGCAACTAGAGCCTTTGTCTCCTGGGATGCTGCTGGCCCAAAGGATTCTCCAGTCTGTCGAAGGGAGGGAGAATTCAATTATTGTACATGAGGGTTACATTTTGGAGTTAAAGCTGTGACAGATGCCTCCCTCCAACAATGCAGAATTAGTTTTGGTGCTCATTTCAGTGAAGATGACTTAATTTGCAAGGCCAGTGATTTCCCCAGGTTAGCCAAATTTGGTCATTCCCCACAGTAGGCCATTTTCTACTCTCCTGTTTTGATTGTGCAGTGTGACTATTTTGTGGTGTCTGTGGTTCTGGGAGCAAGGAAAATGCTGTTGCTCAACAGGTGAAAAAAGGCTATTATACTTTGATTCTGTTCAGAACATTATTAGCATTCTCCTGATTCTACTAGTCAGAAAAAAAAAAAAAAAATGAGTCACCCTGGCTTTGGCTTTATATCTCTGTGGAGTATATTTTTGATGTATGAAATAAGTTATTTCTCACAGAGGAATCACTTGAAAATCACCATACCTACAGTTCAATTTACAGGGGCTTTTGATTGTTCAGAATCATAGGAACACAAAAAAGAGTTAAAACTTGTAAATGTGGTACTGATTCAAAATGGGAGAATTTCGATAATTTTCTATATCTAATTTGATGGTGGGGCCTCCTTGAAATACAAAAGTAAATCAGTTTTATTCATGAATAATTTTTATTTTGGTCAATATGCTCTTCCAGTTTGGTCTTACCATCTTCATATCTATCTACATATATATATATATATATATCTTTATTAAGATATTATTCATGTACCATACAATTGGTCTTACCTCTTTTCATTTTTAAATTACTAGGTTTCAAAATCTCCGTAATTTTTTTTGAAAAGCACAGAATGTACTCTATGAAGAAAGGATTTATGTATAAATCACCTCCAATTTGCCTGAATCGTTTTTGTTTTTCGATACTTAGCCACAGTTTGTCGGCGCTAGACTGATTATTAGAGGTTATCTAGTTAACCCAGAATAAAAATCGCCTGGGGAGTTATTCTTTTTACAAACTGTACCTATGAACCTGCTTGAAATTCTGATAAACTTTGCAGCCCCCAGCCCCACCCCAGACCAATTAAACAGTACTGATTGAATCTAACATTCTCATCTCACAGATAGGAAAACATTCTTTCTCTCACAGTTTTGATGAGACACCTTAATAAACACCAAAATTCTTTTCAACTTTAACATGACAGGTTTTTGATAAATTGACTTGAAGATGCAGAATTCACCTCAATGAATGATAGCAGCATAAATTGTTTATACCGTATGTTTTTAAAAACAAATTATGAAGGATCTGATATTGTTGAAGGAAAAAATTTCAAAGTCACTGATCAGAAAGTCAGTATACAGAAACTGTTGCAAATTTGTCATTGTCTCAATATTTTGTCAGGCACTGGGGAGATTAGTAGATGTCCTTTATCCTGGAAATGCCTGATAGCTGAGCACTCATATGTCTTCTCAGCTGTCCATGGTCATTTCCCACAGGGGATGGGAGGCCTTATTGTGTTAGTTTTTAAACAGCTGCCCTGATTGCATTTTCAGCAGAAGGATATTCATAAGAATACTGATATTAGATAGAAAAAATAGCCACAGAGATAGGCTTTAATAAAAAACATAAACTTCTCAGAAGATCTGACAGGTTCTAATGGATGGATGTGTGAAGACCTGGGGAAAAAAATAAAATAGCTTTTCCAGAGGACTTCTTATTCCTGAAAAATAGAAATTTCAGGCTTAGTGCAGAAGAAGCAAAAGGCCTTTACATCCATACAGATGAATGGATGTAACCAGCTGCTCTGCAAAGAAGCCTCTTTCTCTGGTAAAAATGTTTACCTGGTCTTAACATCTTCCCTCCTGGACAACCTTAAACTACACCTAGGAACCCTTGATCTATAGCAGCCATACATTTGGGAGAGCAGAATGTAGTTTGTTATACTTTGAAATGTCATTATCAATGTATATAAAGAATATAAGAACTTTGTATGGTCTTTAGCTCTATACACTATTCTATGTGACATATGACCAGAAAGGACAGATTCCTTTTGATTTGAAATTTTACTGCTCTTAGATTTGGCAGCAGTGTTGTAGACAGGGTTTGCCACAGGCACACTTTAATCCAAAATACATTTTTTTTAGACATAATGGGTGACGATGCAGTATCTGATTGTTAGATTTTTTTGTCTTATCTGTGTTTGTTTATCTATATCTAATCAAGGTTTCAAAGAGACTAGACAATCTGGGAAGGGAGTCAGACACCACACAAGTTCTGGAGCTCAGTCTGAAATGGTGTTTGCCCCTGAAAGCAGGATGATTGTTTGCCGTCTCTCTACAGTCGGTTCCCTTGGTCTAGTTCCTTATTGGCATGAGCTACAGTTTGGGCGTGGGGGCAGGACACTTGCCATTGATTGTCTTATTCTACACACAGCCCCAGGTGGCGGTCCCAGTTCCATAGAGAATGGCATACATAACCTGGCGCGTGCTGCTGCTGCTGCTGCTCAGTCGCTTCAGTCGTGTCTGACTCTTAGCGACCCCGCAGACGGCAGCCCACCAGGCTCCTCCGTCCATGGGATTCTCCAGGCAAGAACACTGGAGTGGGTTGCCATTGCCTTCTCCGTGGTGCATGTTGGGCACATGTAAATCAACGTCTTCAGTCTCCATGGCCATGATACTGGCCTTCAATCTCCAAAGTCAGTGTTTTGGAAAGAAAAGAGATATGCCCTTCCAAAAAGCAAGGGGAAAGAAAAAAAAAACTGCATTCTCTGAAAGTTAAATTATAACTTTTTCTTTTTTTTTTCTATGAAGAAAACTGTACTAATAAAACTGCCAATTTCTGCCAATTTCTTTCAGGTGGGTGTACATGGCATTAGAATAGAATTCATCAATGAAAAAGGATCAAAACGCACCGCCACCTATCTACCGGAGGTTGCAAAGGAGCAAGGTCATTGTTGTACTTTATTTTATACCATCTGGTGAAGAATTTAAACAAATATACAAATTAAAATGTGCTATTTGACCTTGCAGTTATATCTGATAACTGATCACTGTCAGATTATAAGAAATTATTCTCCTATCACTGCCACTGCAATGTCTGTCTGAAATTGGTGAATTACACAGAAGTTGAATCTCTGTACTAAAGTTTGACAACAAAAACATAAAAAAATAAACTTTCAAAAAAGGAAAGATTTGTAAAAATTGGGCTTTTAGGCAGAGGTTTGCTGTGAATTTGATGTGCCACTTTCCCATATTCCACTATGCTATAGCCTTGTGGCATAATAAGCCTTTTGTTTGATGGTCAGCCACACACTTCATTGTCATTATCAAATCTTAGGTGGTTGCCATTACTCCTTCTGCTACTATTAAGACTGTTAAGTTTCCCGTGAAGATTAGGATCATTGAGAATAAATGAACTATTACAGTGTTTTATTTGTTCCTCATCAACAAATGTTTTTTGACTTTACATAGATAGCACAAAGCTTTAGGAACTACCAGTGTAACACAAAATACATTTCACTCTGTAGTATCTTGTCTTTCTAGCCGCTACTAAATTATAATTTCATGTTAGTTGAAATGAATCTCTTCTTTATCTCATGGAGCTTTTCTTCTCATCAGAAAGCATGGGTAATTTGGTTTCACCATATCTGTTTAATATAAATGTGGTATAGAACTGAAAAATTTAATACTAAACCCCCAAACAAGTTATTAGTCTTTAAAGCAGCTCTCTGAAGATTTATTGGGGTTACTTTTGAAAATTTTTTAATTCTGTAGTTCTTTTGACTCCGTAGAGCAAACATGAGCTTGAGGGCCTGGAGTATGAGTGTGCATCCTGTGTCAGAACCCATAAAAATGCCTTTGAATGCTGCACACAGATACACATGATTGACTCCAGAAGATACCATTAGAAATGGTGATTACCATGAGTTAGTGTGGGAATCCTATGTCCTACTGAGTTGGCTCAATGAGTCTTTTCCCTCCCTTTTAAAGATGTCACCGTTAGAGGAGAATACAGTGTTTATAGTTTGTTACTGCAACACCTCTGAAGAGTTACTGCTGGCCTCTTAGGCTCCGTGTCTTGGAATGTGGTTGAGATAAAGAAGCCAGTATTGCGAGCCAGCAGGGATAGCTAAAATTGAAGGTGTGCCATGGTATACCTGCTTTTGCACAGGGTGAAATCTTAGCCCTTCTGTGTGCCTGTTTTTAGGACCAAAGGGGTTGATAGCAGTTGGTGACAGTGATAGCTGACCTCTACAAAGTTGTTTTGTATTTAACCAAAGGTGCTTATTACATGTGCTTGACTGGTATTTTATCTGGTCTACTCTCCGCAGGATGGGACCACATTCAGACTATAGACTCCTTACTGAGAAAAGGAGGATACAAAGCTCCGATTACTAATGAATTCAGGAAAACCATAAAACTGACCAGGTACAGAAAGTACTGCCTAGTGCAGGGCTGACCGATATATTTTGATGTGCATACCTGTAACCTTGTGTAATCTTTTCTCTAACTATACTTGCTTCTTTTTTTCTGAAACAGAGTGAAATGAATGGCAGGGCCATTCTGAGGGTGGATACAATGGAACTCTGCTCGACAGTAAAGCCTGTATGATATATGAGCCCATCCTTCCCATCTTAGCTCTGTGTGATTAGTCTGGCTTTTTTAAAGCAAACCTTCTGAGCCTTTAGACTACGTTATGGAAGAAAGTTACCTGAGTTTATTGGCCAGCTCTTTTGACATGCCTTAGCAGGACCCCAGGATCCTGATAAGCAGCCCTCAAATTTGAATTTCACTTTAGAATCTTGGCAGTGACAGAAAGCTTGCTGAAAAAAACACAACTGAGCTAGACTCACAGATGCTGAATGAATTTCTGCAAGGACTCATAGGGGTACTGACTTAAAAAAGGAAAGTATCAAGCATTTTAGGAAAATGGGTTGCTTTTTCCATTTCTTTTAATTCTGCAAAACCACATTGAATGCCTATACTCTAAAAATGAACTATTCTCAGCTCTGAGGAGTTACAGTCTAGGAGAATAGAAGGGCATGTGCAAAAATAATTATTAATAGAAGGCAAAATATGATGGATGGTATGAGATCATAGAGTAGGGAAAGAGGAATTCCAAGAGGGTGTTGTGGATAACAAAATTTCAAAGAGGAAGTAGATTGGAGGCCGAGTATAAGAATTCTTAGAATGAGTAGAATATTTGACAGGTGGGGAGAGAGGGGGAGGAAAGGGGTTAACTTGAGAACTTTCTGAGGGGCTTCCCGAGTGGTGCAGTGGTAGAAAATCCACCTGCCAATGCAGGAGACGTACTATATGCAGGTTCGATCCCTGGGTTGGGAAGATCCCCTGGAGGAGGAAATGGCAACCCACTCCAGTATTCTTGCTGGGATAGTCCCCTGGACAGAGGAGCCTGGTGGGGTACAGTCCATGGGGTTGCAGAGTCAAGACAGAACTGAAGGAACTGAGCATCAGTATACATAGAGAAGGTGGTCACCAGCGAAAATATGGCCCAGAAGGTAGAGAGTAAGAAGTTTAAACTCGACTCTGTAGGCAATAGTAACCAGACAGGTTTTGAACAGATGGATTTGAAATGTAAAATTAGAATTGGAAACAGGAAAATTAGGAGACATTTCTATTATCTAAGAATCTGTGGCAGCAATCAAAAGAAGGTGAAATGGGAGCCTTAACAAGAGCTGTGGCCGTGGGATGGCATGAAAGGAAGGAAAAGAAAATATTGTGGAAAAAAGTAAAAGGACTTAGTCATCATTCAGAAGTAGCGAAGAAGAGCAAGTGAAGGCTTTCGTCTAAGTAAAAGGGACCAAGGCAGTCCCTTTGACCAAGACATGGACCACATTGAGGAGAGTTCCATTTATGCACTGATTTCTGGATTTGAAGTGCTTCTTGGGATATCTGTATAGAAATGTCCAATAGGTCACTGAAAATGTACATGTGTAGAGCTCATGGCTAGAGGTGGTGATTTGGGATCATCTGTAAAGACGACATACTTGATGCTGTGAGGCAAAGGTTCACTGAACTGGGACAGAGCATAGGGACAAAGGAACTGAAGGGAGAAATGTAGGAAACTCTTACAAGGCACAAGGGTGGGATGAGTGATCAGAGAGATAAGGAGCAGTCCAAGAGGTAAGGGGAGAACCAGGGGAGTATGAAGTTATGGAATGCAAGGCACAGAGAGCTTCCAAAAGGGAGTGGTGAGAAGTATCCTAATGGAGAGGTAGAAAACACATGACTCTTCTGAGAAGTGTGGCAATGAAAAGAAGAAGAAGGAAAAAGATGGGGGAAAGAGGATTGAGATACCACAATCAAGACACGTTTTGTGTTGCTACTGTTTTCCCTTAATGGCAAGGCCTGAGACCTGTGGACAGAAGGAAAGGAATGGTAAAAGAAAACCGATGGAGGATCCCAGAAGAAAAAGTAGTCAAGTGAATGAAATGTATACATGACAGTAATAGACTGGCTTTCCTCTGTTTCCTGTTAGCAAACCGGAGCTGAGAGGGCAATACGATTTCTAGAACAATTTAAATGAGGAGTGAAAGTGTTCATCGCTCAGTTGTGTCTGACTGTTTGTGACCCCATGGCCTATAGCCCACTAGGCTCCTCTCTCCATGGGATTTCCCAGGCAAGAATACTGGAGTGGGTTGCCATTTCCTTCTCCAGGGGATCTTCTCAACCCAGGGATTGAATCCGAGTCTCCTGTGTTGCTAGCAGATTCTTTACCATCTGAGCCACCAAGGAAGCCCTAAACAAGGAGTAGTAGAATGCAGAGTCCTGGACTCAGACTCTGGATTCCTGGGTTCTGTTCTCACCTTTGCTATGTATTAGCTGTGTGACAGTGGGCAAGTCACTTCTTCTCTCTAGGTCTCTGTTTCCTGATATAGAAGAATTATCTCTAAGGATCCCTTCTAGCTCTGACATTCACACATCACCTACTTCGTGATGTTAACTTTGTCTCTTCCAACTTTCTTTCAGGTACCGTAGTGAAAAGATGACCTTGAGCTATGCTGAATACCTTGCTCATCGCCAGCATCATCATTTCCAAAATGGCATTGGGCATCCCCTTCCACCATACAACCATTATTCCTGACACTGAGCCGCACAACCAGTCACTGGGCCTCTCTGCAGACCTCTTCCCAGGAGACCCTACCCCTTCTTGGTCTAGCTATCTGTTTTACTGTACCATTTTATGATGATAGTTTCCGTTGCCATGGTGAAGCTTTGACATTGTCAACTAAGATCATCATGGTAACGGGTAGGAAAGTGGCATTTATTAAGAAGATCCTCCTGTTTTATTATTTTAGATCATTGATTTTTTTTTTGCAGCATATATTAATTTTGGAGTTTTCTTTCCTTACAATATTATGTAGAATTTTGCTTTGCTATTTCAGTCAGGTTTGTCTTTCTGTCCTTCTTGCCTTCCTTTCTGTCTTCTTTCTTTCTTCTCTTCCTTCCTTCTTTTGACTGTGGATGGAAGAAATTGTGCAGTTTTTAAGGATTTCATTTAGGTTTTTCCTCTGTTTTCCTTAGTAAGATAACTTTTGATAGCCATGTTTGAGAGTAATTCATATCAGATTCAGGTATTTGTATACTTTTGAATTTGTCTAAAATTCATTTTGCTACAAGAGCTTAGTATGTGGGTCTTTACTGCTTAAGTATATGTTTTTCCCATGGTTAAAATATATGAACTTTCATTCTAGTGTAGAATATTCGAAGGTCCATGATAGGACTTGTCACACAGAGTGAGAAATCATTTATGCCTATTGTGCTAGTTATAGAAAAAACTGCCTCATCACTTTATAGAACCAACTTACAAACTGAAACACTGTTTTAAGAAAGTACAAGCTACCTTTGAAATATGCTACAGAAATCATTTTGAAAAGCAGCATATATCAGGAAGAGAGCAGATACAGAATTTAGTGCCTTTGAGAAGAATATAATGAAGTGGAATTAAGAGGGGTTAGAAAAAAGGCAATTTAGAGAAATATTCTTATAAAATTTTATTGTTTATATATGTGAAACAACAGATTAGACAAATTGCTTACTCTTGAGTATTTTTTTAAGCTGAAAAAATTTATTTTGAGCAAATAACCAAAAAGAGACACATTTCTATTATATATTAATTTAAATTTGTTAGCTTTAGGTTTCAATAACTCATGATTGGCCAGAGACAATTTTAGCTACCATTTAAAGAAATGGTAATGATAATCTAGTGAAACAAAAGTTCATACATGTCATGATTTCAGACATGTTTATCATGGGGACAATACTGGAGTTTTAGAAATACTATAAAATCGCTTGAATCTCTTTCTGCACTACATACTTTTGATAGAAACACATTTACTATATTGAGAAGATGTTATTTTACCCCTGCAAAAATGGAGTTGGCATTTAGGTATGATATAGTTGCTAGAGCCCAGCTCATTTGCACGCTAGTTTTCCCATGATGTATACACAGAGAACTTCCTCGAGTCAATGGGAGGTCTGTATGTATACCCCCAGGAAAAATGACAGATGACTCTGGAGAAAGATTATCTTCATATTTTGGTAGTAAGCATATATAAATATATGTGTGTATGTAAACATTTTTTTTTCAAACAGGAAACAAAGATTTCAAGTGATGACTATAAGTACAGTGCAGAACAGAGTCTAAAACCACATGATGTCACTGAATATCAAGATGGCATAACTTATACATGTAGTTGCTGTGACAAGTAACAGACTGCTAGTTCAGAATTTGAAACCCCTTTTCTAGTTTGTGAGGTGAATTGGCTGAATTTCTTCTGCTGGCCCTTGCAGCAAAGCAAACTGCTTTTATTTTTGATGAGAGTTCTCAGAAGTTCTTTGGTATTCCTTCATCCACAGCATCTGTTGTTGAAATAACCATTTTCAGTTGTGATGCCTTAACTAAGAAGCCAGTTGTTAGCCTGAAATGGAACCTCGGTAGCCAGTTCCATTGAACCTAGAGATTAGTTAGAGAAAGCTAGCTGTTGGCCTTTAGAAAGGGATTTTGAGTCCTTTCATTTCTACTTGGGAGCATCTTGGAGCAGATTGGTCTTTCAGTATAAAAACAAGTGGCTACCTGATGGAAATTTTTTCTTGCCCTTATAGGGAAACTGAGCACAAGCTGAATGATATTGTCTGCTGCAAAAAAAAGTAAATAAAACAAGCAAACTGAAGAGAGACAGAATAGACCAATATTGATCCATCTTATCCATCATCTCATCAGTTCAACAGGCTCCTCATCCTGGGTGAGCTCATGGTTAGAAGTTTTTTTTTAAAGAAAAGATCTATTACATGCATATGTGAGTGTGTATACAATACATACATATGTGTGTGTTAATGTATTTAACGGTGCTAATCAATCTTGAGCAGGTCACGTGACTGGTCATGCGGACTCTAAAATCATATCAGATTTTTTAAAATTCTTGATATATGCAGATGTTATACAGATTTTCTTACCAGTGTAATAATGTTATACTGAAGAAATAACCATCCTGCAGGCTTCAGAGGACGAGGTCAGCAATATTTCCCACCGTGGCTTGGGGGAAAAGGATAGTTTTGTCTCCTTTTGTATTCAAATTAATGCACAGTGCATTTGTTGTGTCTAAGTAGCTGTTGACTAAAAGATTTTGTAGTGTAAAAGGTGTTATACAAACTTGTAATGGTGTGCTTCAAACAAATGCTAGACCCTTTCACCTTTGTCGTATATTGCAAAGCTGTTAAATATGTGGTTTGAATTAACTTTGAACATGTTGAAATATGTAGCATGTGTTTTTAACTCAGACGAAGATTCTAATTGCACAGGTTGTGTTCTAGCCAGTTGTGGTTTATTTGTTCAGAAACACAAATGTGAATTGCACTCTTATCACCAGAATATTGTATAAGTTCAGCGATCTCTAAACAGCTCAGAAGTAATACTTGAACTTCATTTGAGTAGCACAAAGTTTACATAGCCCCCCTTTTAAATGTTAATTAGTTCCATTTATGTTTTCTGTTTTTCAAATGCAACTGGGTATTTTTTTTCCTCTTGGAAAATAGTACGTATTTTACTTTGGTATGTAGCAAAAGGCTTCCATTTCTGGAAGGGTTCTCTTGTTCTTAAACAAGGTCAGCCAGGTACCAGATTCTAAAAGAACAATTGCCCCTCCCCCTTCTCCCATTAAGTGGCCTTCTGACTGTAGGAGAATGTGCTACTGCCCTGCCCGTCTCCCCTATCATGAGAGGCCGGTGTGATTAATGGAGGAAGTGCAAGGCTTGCTCTTTACCCACCACCCCACCCCCCACCGCTCTTAAAGCAGTTATAAGATTTTCAGTCCACTGCATACAACCCCAATGCCCAGCACACCGGAAGTTTGTATACTGGCCTCTTTTCATGTCTTCAAATGTGCAGGAAATTCGAAACTGTCACCTGGAATAGGTTCCATCTCTTCTGTGTGTTAGATCAAACCAAAGAAGCCCCCAGCCATGCCCAAATGCTGCTCCAAAAGCCTGCCTTCCAGTCCTTACAAAAACCTTGCAGGATTAAATGTGTTAACTTTTTTATTTTTGTACAGTTTCTAAGTGATTTTTGCTAGTGATGTTAAATTGAATTAAGTTTATTTGAGGGGTGTGAGCACCTCCTCCATTGAAATAAACTGGTGACTTTCCTTTTATTTTTTAAGAGCGGAAACCCATTGTGTGCCTCTCGATTTAAGGGTTTCTGATTACATTATTCTTAAGACCAGCATTGATCCTTTATATACAAAGATATGTTTTCCTTGTTTTTTATTACTGTTTCAGAAGAAAATAAACCTTTTATTTTGCTCTGGACCCAGTAACTGCGCTGGTACATAGACGCACTGAGAAAACAAACTTTTGTAACCACCTCTGACTGTTTTTGTATATGAAAGTTGATTACTTTTGAAATATTTGGATCTAGTTTCTAAGTTATTTTAGTGTTTTATATGTTCCCCAAAATTACTTTGAATCAGTCACCAGCATAATGAGTTCTTGGTGATGCAGTGGTGAGACTTGTAATGAGCAAAGCTACCTGGAGTAGCTCTCTCGTCCTCCCTTTCTTAGTACCCTGTTTTTTGATTACAGTAAGACATCACCAATTATCTGCAGCCCCTTCAAGTATAACTAGATCCTCCTTCCTTCCACATTTAATTGCTTAATAGTTTGAAGAAACTGTTGGAAATGGGCATTTTATATGACATGTATGGCTTTAAAATATTATAAATGAAGAAAAAGAAAAATGAGAAGGTTTACGTGGGTCTGTAAGGTATGGCTGTGGAAAGATATTGTAGTAGTTTTGACACTATTGTTATTACCTTTAAAATCATTTACCCAATAAAATGTTAAAACTGAATTTCCATTTGTGGTTTCTTTCTTTAACCTGCCTCACCAGAGGATTTGGGCCTCGTGGGTACTCCTTAACTAAAAGCTAACAGTTGAAGCTGCTGAAATAATATGTGTGCAGGCTGTCGTTTGCTCAGTCATATCCAACTCTTTGTGACCCCATGGACTGTAACCACCAGACTCCTCTGTCCATAGAATTTTCCAGGCAAGTATACTGGAGCGGGTTGCCATTTCCTCCTCTAGGGGATCTGCCAAACTCAGGGACTGAATCTGTGTCTCTTGCGTCTCCTGCATTGGCAGGCAGATTCTTTACCACTGCTCCACCTGGGAAATAATATACTTAGGAACTGATATAGATTTCTTTCCAATCTGGCACTTGGGAAATCTCATCTGCTTACAGCTGTTCCCTACCATGTGTGTTACCTATGACATTCTTGTGCCCAGCCCTAAATCCTGGCCTGCTGATACAGTCTAGCCTTAATTGGGCAGTCTGCCCTGGCCACAGATCTGAGGCAAGCATCAGATTTGAATTCCAGTGGCAGCATGGCTCTTCTTAAGCCCGTTCCCAATTTCTTCCAGATCAGTGTATTACTGGGTCTTCCTCTTTGGGAGCTGGTAGGGCGTAGTAGCAGTGCCATCTAGCACAATCATCAGGGTACATCACATATGTAAACTTATTACCAGTTTTCCAGTTCCAAAGTGATATGAGATGAACCCTATTTGCCACTTGAGCTTGGGGAAAACATCTGCATATCAGGCAAGGTAACTAGTGCTCCTGCCATCCAAGGGCCAGATAGGAGCCCACATCAAGCAAGGGATCTCTTGGTGTCCTACCTCTATCAGCTGTTGCCTTATCTCTTTCTCTGCATAAAGGCCATCAAGGACATTGCTGAAATACCTCTGGCTCTTTCTAAATCATTTGCTGTCTCAGTTTCATAATGCATATTTCAGGATTAATTGCTAATGAATATATGCAGGACAGTTTTCTGTTTCATTGCCCCAAAGCCCCACTCCCTGTGTGAATTTGATGACATGTGCTCACGTCAATCACAGTGGCTAAAAACAGCCATCTTGGCTCTAGAGGACTATTGTGGTTTGGAATAGTGCTCCATTAAGGCAGCCATCTGCTCAGAGCCAGTTTCATCATTCATGTTTAATGGTACACAGGATTTTTTTAATGATTTAGATGATATTAATAGGTTCAGGTAGAATGAAGTAATTTAATGAGCCCACAGCATTCTTTTTTTTTTATAGCATTAGTGGTTAACTCAGTGGTCTGGACAGATTTCAACTTCAGTAATCACACTCCACCTACCTAAATTCTTCCCAGAGTTTCAGCACTTCCCCTCTTTAGACTTCATGCCCCACTGGGCACCTTTTAAATTGCTCCACTGCTTCAGAGGGCAAGTGTGACTGTGTGGAATGTGGGCAGTTCCTCTCTGTTGATGGAAAATACTATCATATCCAGGGGGTCCCATACTGTGAACTGGGAGGAAGTCTGCTGTGGGAAAAATCACACCTGGATTCAGAGCTGCCACTCAGGAGAGCCCAGTGAATGACAACTGTTTTCAGACCGTGGCTTCTCCCACTTTGTGCAGCTCTTTAACCGCAGGAGCTAAGACAAGTGTGGGTTTTGGCCAAGCTCTGATGGCTTCCCATCTGTCTGTCCAGGCTTTTCCCCTGCTGGAGGAATAGCTGAATGGAAGGATGCAACTGAGGCACGCCCTGGATACACTGCTTTGGCTACTACATTCAGAGGACTTCCTTGATCCCTTTAACCCATGACACAATCCCCTGTTCCAAACCCCAAGCCTGTTGGAAGAAATCTTTTCAAGAATCAGAAAAAACTGCCTTAGGACCCAAACCAGTTTACCTCTTCATCCCAATAACTTAGTTATCACTATGACTTAAAATGACCCTTACTATGTTCCGAGTATATGGACTATGCCTCTCAAATGGTTTCAACGGACCCACCCAGAGGGCTGGTAGAGGGCATGTGCTTTACATAAATGAACACTGGCCTAAGCTTGCAGATTTCCATCCTGACAGATTAGCTCAACAGAGGTTAGCAACAGAGGTTAGCTTTAAGATGCACTAAGACAGGAGCACTGGGCGGTGTCTGCATTACAGGCCTCTGTGCTCACAAGTGCCCTGCTGTCCTTGAGTGCCTACTCCCTCTCTAAAAGGACACAGCCAAGTCACAAGGGGCTGGTAATTTGTTCAGCCTTTAGTCTCCCTCCATGCTGGAAGAAACTCTGCTTTTTAACCAGAATCTTAGCTGGTACCTCATTAAGTTACAAGTATGAGATTAAAAACAGTATTTCATTGTTTTAAAGTACAAATGTATACCAGTTAAATGTATGCTCAGAAAGTTAATGAGAATGACGAGGCTGTTTGGGCGACTATAAAAATTTGTAATTGGGGTGACAGATGACAGAGTCTCAGGGCTCCATTGATTTCTGTATTGTTTTGGCCGTACAGCAGCAACAAGGTCTTGATTTGCAAACAGAAGAGGTAGTATTGTGTATAGTTTTATGAAAGTGAGTACACATTGGCCTAAATTATAAAACCCCAGTGCAGTCACAGCCTTCTGAACCAGACCTGACAAGGAAGGCCTGCAAGAAGTTTGGCATCTTGCCAGAGGTTTGAACATAATGTGTCAACTTGATGGTTCCTGCTGACCCACTGGTGGTCTTAATTGCCATTCTGAATGTAACACATTATGGATGTTTTAGTTAGGTGGGTTTTTTTTTCAGTTTGTATTAGTGTTTCAATATTATACATTTAAAGACACACTTTTCTTGAATCAAATGTTTATGGAAACTTCAATCAGTTCCAACAGAATGCCAGGTCCTGTGGGACAATCTGAAAACCACTGCTGCCATCCCAACATGCCCAGTTATTTTGAGAGCCTTTGGCAAAGCGTCATTTCATCTCCTTTTCCATTTTGGCCTTTTCCTCCCAAATGTCAGGCTCAACGTGATCCATCAATATTTACTGAGTGCCTGTCCCCCCAGAGGCAGGGCAATGTGCTTGGTTACAGAATAAAGATAGTATCATTTTGTAAGACAAATTAACAGTCCACTCTGGGCTAAGAGTTGTGAGCAGCATATAAGTGTGTTCCAGCTGGCAAAAGTCATTGACTGGGGCCCAGGTGATACTGGGCTGGCTTTATAGGGTTTCTCTAAATGGCTCCCACCGCACCGTGGCATTAGAGGAGAGTTGTGGCAGCCTTGTTGGGAAATGGCATTTCTTTGGCCCTCCAATGTATCAGCAGTAGAGACCACCCAGAAACCAGGCACTGTCATGGTTCCTTGAGTGGAGGACATGCTTTGTTCTCACAGTGAGGCTGTCTTGCTCCCTAGCAGGAATGCCAAGGTGGTTGGGCGAGAAATTACATGACTATATAAGAAACAGGTCTATGTACATGCAGAATGGCATTTGGTGTCTCAAAGTTTTGTTTTTTGTTTTTGTTTTTTACTGCAAAGCTGTCCTCTGGAAGGCATCAGAACCTTCCCATGACCAGGAGAGAGAGAACTAGGCTGTTTGCTCTATGAGGCTGCCTTGAGGCCAGAAGAAAGTTCCCAGCACGTCAGCTAATGGAAAAATCCATTCATGGGGCAGGAGGAGAGATAAGATAGTGAGGGAAACCCACCCAGAGAGGGAAATCAGAGTCACTTTCTGAATCACCCGCTACACAGAAAGGGCAGGAAGGCAGTCTTAAATTTGGATATTGTAAAACAGGAAACACAACTGGTACACAATAGAATGTTTAAATCACATCTTAACTGACAGGAAGCTGCGGAGAGTCACAGCCATTGCCTGAACACCAGGCAGATTTGAAACTAGGAGTTGCTCTTGTCACTTGTCATCCAACTAGCATTTTCATCTCAATATTCTGGAATGATCCAAGGTTAGCATATGTGTTAATATGTGTAAATGGATTTGTGCATATCAGCATAGGAGACGGGTGGGCCAGACAGCTGGCTGGGCCAATCAAGATCCCCACTCCCACATAGCCTGGCAGAGCCAGAAAGGGGGTCTTGGATTGGAAAGAGTAGGAAATCCCCATCTTGTTGAAAGGACAGTACTAGTGTAACACAAACATTTCCCTAAACTTTCTCTACTCCAAACAGTCAAATGAATTCCAGGAACTCTGCATGGAGACATTGCCACCCTGCTGGCATAGGTCTCAGCAGTGGCCCCTTTCCCAGAATTGTGGTTAGTGACATGGTTCTTGTTTACCTTGCCTAGCCTATGTGGTCTATGGCGCTCATGAATGATGGGGTCGAAAAGAGGAACACCGGGTCAATCCGGTCATTCAAAAAGGCTGGGATTGCTCCTGCAGGGTACATGGTCCTCATTGGGCCCCTCCTTCCCCATTTTGCTTTGTACCACTCCAGGAGAATCTGTGGCCTTGAAGAAGGTCAAATAGAAATTGATAAAGGTCAGCCCTAGGCTGGTAAAGTGCAGGCAATACATTTGCTCTTGGGAAAGTTATCCAGTGAGTCCCGCAAGCAGGGTGCACAGGGCAGTTGAGAGTTTAAAAGAAATTTCATTCTTTTCACCTCCTTTTGTTGACTTTTTTAAAATTAAAGTAAAATCCACAAAACACAATGAGCCACTTGAAAGTGTACAGTTCAGTGGTTTTAGTGTCTTTGCAGTGTTGTACAACCACCAGCTCTCTCTGGTTTTACAATTTTTTCATCACTCCATAAAACACTCCATCTCTATTAAGGGGTCATTCCCCTTTCTCCCTTGACCATCACCTAAGTAACCACTAATCTGTCTCACTGAATTTGCTTATTCCGGACATATCATATAAATGGAGTCATTCAACATGTGACCTTTTGTCACTGGCTTCTTTTACTTAGTATAATATTTTCAAAAGTTCATTCAAGTTGCTGCATGTTTTCAGTACTTCATTCCTTTTGATGGCTGAATACTATTTCATTGTATGTATAGACCACAATTTGTTTATCCAATGTCCACTGATGGACATTTGGGCTG